AACCGCCCGCGCCGCCTCTCTTCGCTGCGCAGCCCTCGCGAACGCTCGAGACCACGCAGCCGCTCGCCGGCGGCATGCCGGGCCTCGCCAGCGCCGCCGCTCCCTCGGCCGACTTGGCGGCTCCGCTAGCGTCGGTGGCGCGCGAGGCGGCGGGCGGCGAGGTCGGCGTGGGCGCGCCACTGGGCGCTCCTCGGTGAGACCGTCGCTTGCGAGCTACCCTCCCGAGACCCTCCTGAAGACGACCTCGGAGACACCGCTCGCTCTGCACCCCCCTCCCGCCGCCCCTCGCCCTCGCCCTCCGCTCGCCCGCTGCTCCGCAAGCCGCGCCCCGATGTGAAACTCATCTCGGCAAGCTGACTCCCGCGGCTATGGCGTCGCAGTTCTCCCGCCGCTGACACCCGCCCCGCCCCGCCCGCGCGCAGCCTCGACTCGCTCGGCGCGGCGGCCGCCCGGCCGACCCTCTCGCCCCTCTCGTCTCTCTCTGCCGCGTCGCGCGGCGCTCTCGAGGCGGCGCTGCGGCTTGCAGCGGCGGCGCTCCCCACTCCTCGCCCGCCGCCTCCTCTCGCTCCTCTCCCGCCGCCTCCTCTCCCAATTCCTCTCGCCCGGATCGCCGCCCGGCCCTCCGCCCTGAGCCAGGGCCCCGGCCCGGCCGCTCCGCCTCCGCTTCTTCTCCCCGCCGCCGCCGCCGCCGCCGCCGCCGCCCCCGCCCCCGCCCCCGCCGCCTCCGTTGCCTCGGCGTCCACTTCCGGGGAGTCCACTTCTGGCGTGTCCGCTTCGTGTGTCCCCACCGGCGGAGAGAGGACGGGCGCCATGCCGCCCGTGGTGCCGCCTCCGCTCGCGCCGCCGCTCGCGCCGCCGCTTGTGCCTGCGCCGGTGCCGGCGGCGGTGGCGGCGGCGGTGGCGGTAGCGGTGGCGACGACGGCGGCGGCGCCGTCGACGCCGCTCCTGCGCGCAGCCGTGTGCGTGCTGGACGAGCGAGACAAGGAGAACTCGCCGAAACCGGCGTCAACCCGCTCTGGCGGCAAGGATCGAGCACGTCGCGGGGCGCGTCCACGACACGTCCACGGCGCCCTCCACTAGGCGCGTCTGTTGGCTGCACACACGGCGCTCGCGATGTCGCCCAAGGTGTGCGGGCACGCGGCGCAGAGGCTGGTGCGCTCTGCGAAGGAGGAGGCGGCGGCGGCGGCCGGCAAGGAGGGGTGGGAGGCGGAGGGGAGGGAGACGAAGTCGGAGGTTGCTGCGCCGTGAGGAGGAGTGCAGGCAAGCACCGCGAGAGTCTCACAGGCGCCGCACGTCGCAGCGGCCGCTGCTTGGAGAGGCGAAGGAGGTCACGCGAGAGCCGAGAGGCAGTACGTGATTCTTTCCGTCTGTCCCATCGCGTGTCCCGGGGAGAGCGCCGGGAAGTGTGGGTCGAGTGTGTGGAGAGACGCTAAGAGTCGGACTACCTACGTGTAGTCGCTACAGTTTATGCGAAACGCAATGCGCAGGCGAGGGACCCCGAGCACGGCTTCTTTTCCTGAAAATCCTGTTTCGGTGGTTTCTCTTGACGATGTCTTGAGAACATTGAAGGTTTGTCACGATTTAGAGCGCGGGAGCGACCGCGGGTCCGCGCCTGAGCGTAGTGTAGATCGTGTACACGCAGCGAGAGACCGTATACGGCTCAGTGTACAGTCTGTGACAGACGCGCGAACGCTCACTCTCAGGATCACGTGTTCTTGAGCTGTGCCCGATTCAGTAGGGATGTGGTCGTGCTAGCTGACGCCCGAGTCGCACGGGAGCCTCAAATACTGGCCACGGGTTCGCCACGCCCACGGCAAGAAGGAGTGGCGCGGGGAGGAGGCGAGCGCGACGAGGACGAGCAGCGCGGCCAGCGCCAGCGAGGCGGCGGGTCGGCGACTAAAGGGCGCCGCGAGCCGCGTCTCGGCCCAGCACACGTTGGCCTCGTCGGTGAAGAATGGCGAGTCGGGAGCGTCTGGGGAGGAAGTTGCGGTCGAGTTGGGCACGCCCGGCAAGTCGACGAACATCCACAGCTCCGTGTGCTGCGGCGTGACGCGGAGGTGAGGGAGGAAGCGGGCGGCGGAGAAGGCCACCACCGTCCACGCATCCCCCACACCGAAAGACCAGTCGCGGCAGGACAAGCCGCCGCGCCGGTCGTAGTCTCCGTCCGCAACTCCCTCGCTCCCGTGGCCGCGCAGCGACACCTGCGGCTCGCCAGCAGAGCGTCAGCGGGCAAGGTGCCGGCGCGACGCACGCGGCTCGCACCGAGTTTGGTTGCGACGCGTCGTCTTCGCAGACCACGCGCGCCGCCGCCGCCAGCGCTGCGCGCGCGAAGCTCGCGTTGCGCACCGGCGCCACGTCGACGCCGTCAGCAGGCGTGATGCCGAGCGCGGCACAGTTGACCACCTCCGGCCCCGCGGCCAGGAGCAGCAGCCCTGCAAGCCGAGAGGAGGGGAGCGAGGCTGAGCCACCTCGCAAGCGCTGGTCGGCGCCGGGCAAGCACAGTGATTCGCTCCTCCGAAGCGACTGCGGTGCGTGTGCAGCCAGGCGTGCAGCAGCCTGCCCGACGAAGGCATCTTCCCGGACCACCACGTGACCGAATCCGTGCTCGGCGCCGCGTACCGCTCCCACACGTCGGTGGGCAGCTCGCGCGACCGCGGCCTGCGTAGCCAGAACTTGCTCACCGGCTTGCAGTCCGCGTCGGGCGCGAGCGTGAAGGCGGCCTCGAGGTAGTAGGAGAGCTCGCTCGCGCCGCTAGCGTCGACGCGGACGTCGTTCACCTCCGCGTTCAAGTCGATCTGCTCCGCCGACGTGACGACATAACAGTGCCCCTCTGGCAGCCGCGTGGCGTAGCCTGCCGCGCTCCTCGCCCCGACGCCAAAGTCGTCGCCGCGCGAGTAGTCACCGTGCGTCTCGAACCAGTGGCTGGCGCGCTCGCGGCCCACCGGAGGCTGCATCGCGCCGCTTCGCTCGGGCTTGCGCACGTGAACGTGGTGGACGTGCAGAGGCGGGAAGCCGATCCGCGTGCCGGCTTCAGTCACGGGTGCGCCGACGAAGCTGACTACCCGGTCGCCGTCGTTCAGCAGACCACGCAGGGAGTGCGTCATGAGGCTTCTCCACTGGCCTGGCACGGAGAAGAAGGGTCCGAGCCGCACGCTGCGCAGCAAATCTCCGCCGCTGACCGCTCGCGAGCAGCGCTGGACCTCCACTGCCGTCCAGCCGCCCTCGTCCTCGCACTCAGAGAGCGATTCCTCACCGGAGTGCTCGCAGGTCTTACCAACGATGTCCGTGTGCACACAGAACATCGTGCTATGCGCAGCGAGCAGGTATGCCACCGCCCCGATGACGTATGGCTGTCGCAACTTGCATCCCTTGATGGCGCAGTATGAGAGAGCGAGCGGCACAGAAAGTCATTGAGTCCCTGGAGCCGCAGACGGGACAAGAATGTAGTGGTAGCGAGAAGTGTGTTCCATACGTGGATCAGCCAGTTGTGGCACAGGTTAACGACAGCGACCATGACGGCACCCAGCCGTGCGTCCCATGCACAAAGAGACATGCTCGCCAAGAAGCCTGCAATTGAGACAGCGTGCACGGCGACGGCGCCAAACGCGTTCTGCTCCGTCCATCGGACGTAGATGTGAAAGTGTACGGACACCACGACGCCGTATGCCACGGCCGCTGCCGCTGAGACCAGCGGATCGCTCAGCCGCATTCTCCTGGACGACCGCCGGAGTTTCGTCCACACGATTTCCCGGAAGGGGCACTACTCGTTTACACCTTGAGCACTTGAGCACTGGATAGGGTCGATTCCGCATGGTACGGGACCCCTCGATCGTCTCGCCCTCCCTCACTGGTGTGTTCATTGGGGGGGGGTCATAACAAACACGGTGCAGGATCGAGGTGCACGCTGCAGAGGCAGTGTCGTCCCCCCTCTCCCCGACGGCGATGGCGGTGTGACCGATCGAGCTACAAGAGGAACTTGTTCAGCAGGATCCGGGTTAGCCCGCGCACTACCTCACTGGGCCTGAGACTGCTGAGACGCTTCCCGTCACCGTCTCGGATTTATGTGGAGTCGAACCACTCCGGGATGGGCAAGCCCATCGTTCTGAGTTGCGCCTTTCCCTCACCTGCAGGAGACCAGCCCCCTTGTTAATTGTCAAAATTCCTGTTGTGCAAGAGGGGAGGGGGCTCTGACGGAGTGCGTGGCGGGAGAGGGCAGGGAGTGGGCGCGGGGGGGGGGGGGGGGGGGGCTCACCCCTGCAAAAAGCATCCGTTAATAATAGTAAGGAAAACATTTTGCCCGGCCGTTCAAAAAGCCCGCCCCGATTTTCCTTTTTTCCCCCCAAACCCCCCGGGGAATTTTTTCCAAAGGGAAAGTTTTTCTTTGCCCCCCGGGGAAATTCCATTGGCTTTTTCCCGGTTTCCCCCCTGGGGACCCCCTTTGTGGGGGGGGGGCCCCCCCCCCGGGGCCACCGCCTGAAACCCCAAAAGGAAATTTTTGCTTTTACCAAAAAAAATCTTTTTTTTAAAGGGCTTTACAATTGCCCCTTCCCCCCTAAAAAGGCCGCCCCCGCCTCCCTTGGGGGCCTTTTTTTGTGCTG